GCTTCAATTCAGAATAAGGCTATTTGCTTGGGAATAAGAGAAGCTGCAGAGGTTGATATGTCTGCTGGTATCATCCCCTACAATTAGGTTCGATATTGAAGATTCTTACTCATGGTTAGCTAACAGTTCAGGGCAATTCTCAGTGTCCTCTGTGTGGAGGTGGTGGGTGGCAGCAAAAGGGCCTGGTATGAATGTACCTGCAGGGATATGGGCAAATTCAGCCCCCCCTCCCTCCCCAAAAAAATGCAATTCTTTTGTTGGCTAACTTGGAGAGGCAGAGTGAAGACTTCATTCTTCCTAAAAATGATTGGGGTTTTAGCTGCTAGTGCTAATTCTCTTAGTGTGTTCTGCAATGTTGAAGTGGAATCTCTGGAACATGTGTTACTATTTTGTCCAGTGGTCAGGGAGTGTTGGTCAGAAATGGTAAAATGGTGGGATCTGGTATGGTTAATGCCTGGATTAGTTCAGGGTCTGTTGCATTGGTGGTCGGATGGTAAGTTCAATTCAAAGGCATCCAGAATTTGGCAGATAATTCCTTCAGATGTTTTATGGTATGTTTGGAAATTGAGAAATGATTGTCTATTCAAGGGGGCTCAATCAACTTTTGAAGACTTATGTGAAATAATAAAGGTGCATATTGCTTTGTGGGCCAAATGGGTATTGCAGTTTGATTACACAGTTCATGATTTTGTCTCCAATCTACATCAGATTAGGCTGTCTGTTTGAGGTGTTTGAGGTGTTTTTTGGTTCTGGGTTTGTCAGCAGTGGAATATTATTAGCAGGTGCCTGGCTTAGGAGTTCCAACAGTAGGTTCCACTGGATGTATTAGCAGCTGTTACTTCCTTGGATCATAGCTCTGTCTTGATTTCAAGGCAACACAACAAATGGAGTCTGGTGCCTCATAGAGGGTGTTTTGGTTGAACTACCTGTTATCTTGGTGATTTTGGTGACTAAAAGAATGTGTGATGGTCTACTATTACTGGTTTGCTCAGCATTCTGATTATCATGCTCAGCTCATCAGGGGCTGCACCTAGTGTTTTGTTTTGTTAGATGGCTTTGTTGTTTTTCTTACTTTGCTTTGTTTGTTGGTTTCTCACCAACTGGAGCTTGGAGCTTGAGCTAGCTCCAAGCTCCTCTTTATTGATGTACTCTTCATACTTTATATGTTCTCATCAATAAAGATTTCTTTTGCTGATCCAAAAAAAAAAAAAGAAAAGGAATGCTCATGCCATCCAAATTGATTAAAGGGAATATGTATATTCTTAGAGTTTTATGAAGCCCCAATAAAATAAAGAAGACCTAATTTATAAATACATAGTCCTCAAAATACGAACGCTAATCACATTGTCCAAATTGATTAATGGGGAACATGTGTACTTTCAAAATTTTACATTAAACTCCAATAAAATCAAAATGATCAAATATTGTTTTCAAAGTATTTGCATTTAATTTAGTATTTGAAAACTCGTGGTCAGACCAATGCCCAAATTAGCATCAATACATTTGTTCGCCTCTTGATAGCAATAGATGATTTCAGATAAATCTAATTTATTCATCAAATACCTGTAGACAAAAATGTTTTTTTTTTTTTTTTTTGGGTTTTCATCACACCTTTCTAACAATGAAACTAGGGTCCATGCCAAAAATGAACCCTAACTGATGCAAAACGAGGGTTTGGGGGCTAAAACGCGCAGCCGGCGGCCCCGAAAACTGATTGCTAAGCGCCGGAAGTGGCGTGCGACCCCAAAAGTGATCTCCCGGGCCACAGTGTCCCTCTAGGGAGAGGAAACAAGGTGTGTGCCAAAAACTGGAGCAAACGGAGGTAGTTAAGTGGTCCCGAACCGAGGCGCGCGGCCGACGGCTCCGAAAATCGGAAACTGGTCTCCAAACGGGAACAGTGGCCTACGACCACGAAAAGTAGCCTATGGCCACTGAGAGATGGTCTATGAGACCTCTCCCTCCCTTTGAGAAGAGAAAACAAAACCTAGTTCGCAAACCGAGGCAAAGCACAAAAGAGCCCCGAAGTCCGGAGGCAAGGCTCTCAGCCGAGACTCCGCAACCTCAGAACGAGCACAATATGCGTCATCACCGAGCGCTCAATCGGTGATGTCTGAGTCTTAAGGTGGGTCAAAAATATGGTGTCTACAACCCTACACCCAAAAAGTTTGTAGTCTCTTTTACTGATAAGGTTATGGATACAAAGGGTAGCCCAATCATAGACTTAGAGGAACGAGTGGTTATGAGGCAAGTAAACAACGTCCTCCCCAGGATTGCCCAGTGGTCTGGTGTTGGTTCCAACAAGTCGTGCATGGACTATATTGATGACATAGACGAGTATGTCTTTCGCTCCTACACTCAGACTTTCACAGGTGGTTCGGCGGTTCCTTTTTGAGGCTTACCACCTAGACTTTTCTCTTGATAATTCCATGCCAACTCTTTTCTTGTAATTTCCATGGTCTGTCTTGGGTATCTACCAGTGTGGTATGAGGAGGGCATGTCGAGTGTGGTTTATTGACCCGACAGTGTCCTCAGCCAATTAGGCATGGACGAAGGTATTCCTAGCACTCCACCGCCTTAGAAAGACTTTCATCACAGTTTATTGTGATTCACCCATGAACATACTGACGCACTTGTAGAGGGTATGATTTTGTTGGAGTTACCTTCACTTGGAAGATAGGGTGCTTTTACTCCTAGCTATAGACTTTTCAGGCACTGCAATCTTGACTCCTTCTACCATTTCTGTAACAACAATCCATAGTTCTTGCCATAAAACCTATCCCTCAAAAGGACATGTCTTTACGCCAACCTTCTGGCTATAGGAAACAAAGCAATCTCTACTACTACTTCAAGGTTTTGTCTTCACAAATCCGAGAGGAGCCTCATCCATCGGGGGCAATAACTGCTCAGGCTGTTTAGGCTTCTCTTTCTCCCGCAGGTTCCACAAGCCATGTGACTTATTCGAGGTTAAGGGTAGTTGAAGAAGAAGCGGCTACACTAGGAAAAGGCTCTCTAAGGTGTCAATACTTAGAGTAATTACCTTACTTCATACTTTCCTCGATTTTAATTATTATTCTAATAGTTGCATTTCTCCTTTCCTTAGGGCCTATTTGTTTCAGAAAGTGGCAATGTTTTTGCCATCCCTCCCTTGGGTCCAGGGGGACCCATCAATAGTCATTGGGCTTTCTTCAGACTCTACGGACAATGAGAGTCCTATTGCTTCACTGATCCCTAGATCAAAAGTCCATAGGCTGGTACTTTTAGACATCGAGGAAGACCTAGTTGCTGAGGCCCAAGCTATGGAAGAGGACCATGATGACCTGCTTGTTGAGAGTAGTGGTAATGAACAACACTGAGCCCGAACTATTGGGCAAGTTGTAGAGGGTGAGACAGTTGCTAAGGATGCTGAAAACCTAGATGTTATAGGTACTGTTGATCCGTTTGTTCTAGATCCACTTGTACACTTCTACAATTCCTCTAATGGCAGTGAGGACTTCGCTCCCGAAACTCCCAAAGAAGAGTATGTAGTGAATGCAACACCTGACCTTGAACCTCCTCGAGTATAGGTTGCTTTTGGGGGTTCGTCCCATTATGTTGAATCTCCATTAGCCTGCTAGACAGTAGCTACTGAAATCCCAGTTGTTGGGGGAATTGAAGGCGCGACGGCTAACCCTAGTATGGCGCATCCACACTGAGCTCACTTTACAGAAGTGGCTATTAACTTGGCAACTGTCACCATTATTGCTGCTGCGAGGACCTCTGATCATGTGGCCTCGGCGACTTCAGAGCAGCTTGTTGATCTTTATGCCACCCACTTTCTTACAGTATCGACTAATCTTGGGAGGTCATGAGACTTCTTTAAAAGAATGGACAGCATTGCCGTTCTTGACTTGAACATTAGGGATAATCATATTGACAACCTCCTTTTAGTCCCGTAAGGAGGTGATAAGAGTTTTGGCTTGTCTCGTGAGATTAGTTTCTTGGGTCATTTTCCAGTATCTATCCACTCAAACATTGTTACAAACACTGGGCAATCTTTTTCTAGGGAAGTTCGTCGGCTTCAAACATTTGGCTGTTTTACAAGTTTACCTCCTGTCACCCATGCTGCTGGTGCCATGCTAGAGTGCCCTAGGCCTTCGGCAAGGGTTTCTTTGTTAAACTATTAGGTGTCAACTAAAGCTGCCCCCATAATTGTCTACATTGAAGCACTGCACCCCGAAACCTTTACTGCTTTTAAAGCTCCTGGCTCCATGGTGCAAACAACATTATTGGAGTCTCTCGTTGGCTTCATTCATGATCTTGCTACCAGGAAGGTTTTGACAATTTCGGGCAAGTTTGTGGAATTTGCTAAGGCAAACTTCAGCGGGATTAAGATGACTGACCTAAATTTATCGTGGATGAAGGATATGCTCTAGGAGGTTAATGGGTTTCTTGAACATGCTAACAACATAGCTATGATCACTTCTTTGGATCAAACCACCAGGGATATCGAGTGTACCTTAGAGCAACACTGCTAGAACTTGGCTTGGTTAAGGGAGAAAGACTCTACTCTTGTTGCCCAGCTGCCTCAATATGTTGGTTTGACAAACTCCTTGATGAAGGGCAGGACATGATGTATTTTCTCTTTTGTTTCACAACTTATTTCTATCCTCGTGGAGACATACGATGTAATGAAATCTCTGAACAATCAATGAATATTAAGTATTTTGGTAGTACTTCTGAGTGACATTTTATTATTTTCCTTACATTACTTTTCATAAATTTTTGAAGAAAAGATAAGCGAAACTCTCTTGCCATGGATAAAAATTCAACATGGCTAAGCCTTTACGTAGATAAAATTTCACTAAGTATGAAAAAATTTCTTCACACTAAGTATTAGGAAATATTGACAAAGACTTGAAACTGTTTGCTAACAAAAAAGCTAAAGAAAGTATTCGTTCACATATTTGGCATTTACAAGACTAGTTATAAACCCATCATCTAACCTCACCAACTTGTAGTCTTTATACATTAAATTTTTCTACACTTTCTAAGAGGTTCATTGTAGTCGCCTCATCCAATACATCCTTGCAGTCACAAAGAAAAGCTCTGAACTCTTTAATGATTGAGTGGTACTCCGAACTACGATTCTCCAAAGCAGTGTCATCTTCAAGGAGAAGTCGATTGATCTAAAATAAAAATGTACAAACTAAAGTTATATTAAAATGGTCAATTGTCATGTAGCTCTGAAGCACGGGTACTCCAAAAATGGTGTTGTACGAGTACCGGGTGCAGGTACACGTACCGGTACGACAATACTCGTACTGGGTACGGCGAATACATGCTAGGTATAGCAAATACATCTGGGTACGGCAAGGTGTTTCTTTTTTTCTTTTTTTCTTTTTTTTTTTTTTTTTTTTTTTGCAGCTACTAGAATTTGTTGTAGCCTTTATTATTCTTCTTTCAACTTCGAAAATCATAAAGTAATTTATTTTCAACACCCTTTACCCATGAGTCATGGTTTTGCTCTCTTTTGTATCATGTTTTTGTTAAAATTTATCAATAAACCTACCACCACTACTGTTAGAATTTACCATCAACTACCACCTCACCTACTCCACTAAACCTAACCCACTACACCACTACCACCTCACTTACTCCACTAAACCTAACCCACTACACCACTACCACCATCCACTACACCTACATCTATATAAGGAACCATTTGTAATAGACAGAAATGAATCAGATATCAATCAATAAATACATCAATTTTAACATGGTATCAGAGCAAGGTTAAGAACCTAGTATTTTCGCTTCACCGGCGGGCGGCAGCCTCGCCTTGGCCGTCCGCCGGACCTCTCATCTTCCAACTATTTCTGCATGCCGGATTTTTTCATCCATCAAAACCAACCCAGGTACCATCTTGCTTTGCACTCCCTTGAGGACCACTGCAGCTTCATCTCCACCGACGGACCACTGTTCATCCTCTCCGACTCCGGCGCCACCTGCTCCGTCTCCGACTGCATCCCCCTCTGCTCCGACTCCACCGTCTCCGCCGCCAACTGCTCTGGCAAGAACCTCATCTGACTTTACTTGCTGTTTATGAGGCTTGGAAGGTCAAGACTTTTTCGGGTCCATGGTGTTTTGAGAACTTTGTTCAGTCCCGATCTTTGAGGAGAGCACAGGATGTCCGGAAACAGCTTCTCACTATTATGGACAAGTATAAATTGGACGTTGTTAGTGCCGGGAAAAATTTCACCAAGATTAGGAAAGCCATCACAGCTGGGTTTTTTCTTTCACGCAGCAAGAAAGGATCCACAAGAGGGTTACAGAACACTGGTCGAAAACCAGCCCGTTTACATACATCCGAGCAGTTCTCTTTTTCAGAGATAGCCAGACTGGGTCATCTACCACGAGCTGGTAATGACAACAAAGGCGTATATGCGAGAGGTCACAGTTGTTGACCCTAAATGGCTTGTGGAACTAGCACCGAGATTCTTCAAAGTAGCAGACCCCACAAAAATGAGCCAGCGCAAGCGTCAAGAACGCGTTGAACCGCTTTATGATAGACACCATGATTTATTTATTACAACACTAATCCTCACCTGACACCCCCATTCCTTTTTTATTATTAGAGACCTGACTTGCACCTCCTCGGCCAACCCATTTCTCTTTTCTTCTTATTATTATATACACCTTTTCTATTCTCCTTTATGCTCCACTCACCACTATCATCACATTTTCCCACTTTTTCAAACCCATTTTAATCATTTCCCTCCTTTCCCTTACTTTCTTCCACCCACGATTTCACCATTTTCTTTTCTTTTAATATATATATATATATATATATTTTTTATTAAAAAAAAACAAAAAAAAAAAAAAAAAAATTTGTTAACAAATAATGCATTAAGTACGAGTAATTAACCCCACCATGTGAGAGGTTTGGTAGAATATTTGAGATCCCTAATATAACTCTAAATGAGAAATATTATATATCCCAAATATTTTATCAAATATTCTATCAAACTTCTTACATGAGGTAGGACTCTCACAAATCCATGTGTGGGTCCCACATCGAGGTTTGGTAGAATATTTGGGGTTCTAACATAACTCTAAGGGTGTGCTTGTTTGGACAGACTGTATAAGGGAGATTGTAATCCATCGGACTGTTAGTCCTAGAATACATTGTCCCAGGGCTATTTGGTTGGACAAATGTGAAGACCTATCATGAGATTAGATGTCAGGAAAGAACTGTTTGGTTAGATAAGATATGAATCCTATCTTTATTTGGGATATTATGGAGGCAATTAACTTACCTCGACGTGACATGAGCGTGAAATGATCTAGGAACAGAGGATCTAATGATATATATATATATATATATATTGTGTGTAAAATTAGAGTTTTACCTGAATTTTCATTTGATTTCCTAGCACAAGGGGTGAAGGAAAAACTCTATCAATGCTACTTGCAGCAACAGTGATGATCCATGGAGCCACATTAGTGACAGTTGAAGGAGTTGGACCTGAGTTGCCAGCACTACATGCCACTACAATTTCTGGTAAGTATTCTGTGTGGACATTTGTCATCTGCATGATCAACATCAGTTGTTTCTATGTTTCCGCCATCTCCAACTGTCATGTAAATAGGACCACATGGGTCAAGTGTATAATTGTAAAAATATGAAAAATTTCTATTAGAATTCTTAGAAAAAGCTCAGCACGGTAACAAGCATAAAAAACAAATTACACGACAAGAAGTTTAATTTAAGCTCTAAAGAAGAAGATTATATTGTCATTTCTTTCAGCTCACATCTGGGGATACACTTGGAGTGTTATAATTGTCATCACAGTAAAGCGTGCATACTCTATAAAGCTGTTGTACACTCAGTATCTGAAATAGAAAGAAAGCATCAGTGTGTGTGTGTGAGGGAGGGAGGGAGGGGGGAGGAGAGAGAGAGAGAGAGAAAGCAAAATCAAAATTAACTATTAAAATAAAAATTAAAAGCTTAACTCCAAGACGACAACACATGCCTAACCAAATCTTTCCAAATATGGTTTGCTTTCCCAACACATATTCATTAGAATTCTTTTAAAGATAAATTTTGTTGAGAACCAAAATTAAACCACCAGTTAACCAATAAACATGCTTGCATACACAAACAGAGAAAAAGACTTACAGGGCAGAGATCATTTGTAATTTCGTCATAGGAAATTCGTGATTTCTGATGTATAACCTGCCAATAAATATATAGCATGAATCAAACTAACAAAGACACAGATGCCCAAGGTTAATAGGAGAAAACCCACCATCAACATATCCTTCCCCAGGTGGATATCCACAAGTATTTTTTTTTTTTTTTTTTTTTTTTTGGGTGAAGATTAGCTTCAAAAAGGTAACAAAAATACCAGCAATCTATGTATATAAGCAGTGTTCTACCAAGGAGGAATGCGATCACTTATTCTTTAATGTCAAAAGACAAGCACACAAGTTACAATTCCGCAGTATCCTTGAATCATATATATTTGGTAACCATTGTTGAGGGATACTTATAAAATTTATATATGTGATTATTGTTAAATAAAGAGAAAATAAGAGGTTAACCAATCTAAGAAGTTTAGAAAAGTAAAACTTAATTTCAAAAAAGAAAACTAAGAAAAAGACATCTACCACCTCACCTACTCCACTAAACCTAACCCACTACACCACTACCACCTCACCTACTCCACTAAACCTAACCCACTACACCTACATCTATATAAGGAACCATTTGTAATAGACAGAAATAATCAGAAATCAATACCAATCAATAATACATCAATATATATACATAATTTGTTCTCTCTCTTTCTATATGTATTAATTTTATCATGGTATCAGAGCGGGTTTAGCACCTAATATTTTCGTTTCACCGGTGGGCGGCACCCTCACCTTAGCCGTCCGCCGGCCCTCAACCTATTCCGCTTATACCTTCACTATCGCTGTCATATTCATCACCCACCTTAGGAACTCCGGTATCCAAGTCCACCCCGGGTTGTTCGACGCCGAGTTTGCCCGAGCCGAAGACAATCAAAAAAGAAAAATAAAAAGAAAGAACTATATAATTTTTTAGACAAGTTCTCTTTTTAGTTTTGATATTGAAACTTTGATTTATATGTTGGATGTTTAGCTATAAATTAAATATAAAAAATAAAAATAAAACAATTGGCGTACCCCACCCGTATCCGTAACTTATTTTTTTTAAGAATTTGCCGTATCGGCATACCAATATCGTACCTATACCCGCACCCGTGCTTCATAATCATGTAGTTTATGATAAACGTGTTAAAAACACTCCAATAGATGTACAACTCGAGCACAATAATCACCAAAATTATTGCAACCACTGGCTTTGGTACACCGATGTGAGAAGAAGTCTTGTAGTGTAAGACATCAAATTAAAACAACGCAGCAGAATAATAAGATAGATAAGTTATCTCGTAAGCAAAACCTTGTCCAGGTATAATTCAGTTGCCCATGTAGAAATCATAGTTATTTGGCATTTATCATCTTTTGCAAGATTATCAAGCTTCCGCAACAAGAAAGTTCTCAAAGCATCCTGCAAGGAAGTAAATATATATATATATATATTCAAAAACCACAAACCATATGAGCACATGGGTGCATAAGTATTTAAAGTAAAAAGTAAAGATAATCATGTTGACTTCAAAGTCTTTAATTGATAATAAAAAGAAGTTTCGCTTAAACCATAACACTATCAACCTGAACTTCAGGTAAGCAATGAAACAATTGACACTCCACATGTCGCCTCCTTTACCATGTTCGACATTGTAATGTGCATGATAGTCAGACATGGATCTACATGGTAAAAGTTAGATATGGTAGTTGCAGCTATTTGAGGTCGCCACATCAGACTTTTGCGAACATACGAGTCACTAACATCCACGATTATGAGTCACTACATAATGACGCAATTTAAAAAGGCCAAACCAGCTAATTAACAAGAAGCATAGACTTGGCTTTTTCAACCACATATGTGGCTATCCAAAAGGGAGCAACACTAGTCTAGTAAAGGCCGGGCTAACCAACAAATATAATTATCACACTTGATTTGTTCGAGGAAAAGTATAGATGTGAACAAGGAGGAACTGCTATTGTGAAAAGAAATAGACAACACTATTTATGTATGTATATATATTCAACAAACTTAACATAGTGTATATCACACTAGTTACCTGAACAGGAACTTAGGGTTCGTTTGGGAGGTGGCTTTTTGGCTAAAATATAAGGTGAAAGTAAAGAAAGTGTTTGGGAATGGCTTTTTGGCTTTTTACAAAAAAAAAAGAGCAAAAAGTAGAGAGAAGGAAAGGAATCTTTGACCTTTTTCATATGGCTTTTTGGCTAATTCAGCCAATTGCCAAACGAGGCCTAATGTGGATTATGTATCAATATTGCAGTGGTTACAAATATATCAACAGCTCAAACAGAAAAATAATATTCCATGATGTACATTCTTTGCACATTACATAGAAAAATAAATACTCTTCAGACGTGATCTTAGCATAATAAACACTTGAAGAGGCTATAGGATGACATGATGAAAAGAAAGACCATCCAGAAGTGAAAAGACTCCACAAATTAAACTCAAGTAGCTATGCAACAAAATCACATGAAACTCATGGGCTCCTAATTTAGTGACACAGTTGTTGAACTCAACTGAAACCTTTAGAAGTTAGAAAGGGGTCATTTTATTATATAATATATATATGTATGACTGGACTCTCCTCCGTAAAGATGCCAAACACATGCAAGTATTATATTTATTTGGTAGACAATGAAGTTTGAATACAATATCTATTGTATGCTCTGTGATACCATGTTGAATTGTTGACCACCAAATCATCTGAAAACCTAAGTTGTTAGAGAGAGAGAGAGAGAGAGAGAGAGAGAGAGAAGGGGGGGATTTTATTATTTATATCCTCAATAGTAGTATAAATAAATTCAAACAATAGTTTTAATACAGATTTGTAGTTCATCAAGTATGTAATTGCAACAAAATTTAAAAGCCTTTGGCATGTCTATTTTTAGTCATAGTTAAATATATGCATTATGCACATAATTCTCAAAAGATGCTTACCCGGAGCATAAATTGAAGTAAAGCATCACATATAAAAAGGTCAAGAAGATTAATCAAAAGATTTTAGTTGAGAACAAAATAATCTCATACACAGAATAACAAAATATATAATAATTTTTACTTCTAAGCGCAGTATTGTTTTTTTATAACTAAATTTTATTTAAAGGTGGCACCAAGAGTGGCGCAACCTCTGTATACAGGATGTATACAAAGAAAGCCTAAAACCCATTACTAAAACAGAGCTCTCATATACTAAGCACAGTATTATCACTGAAAACAAGATGCACCTAAAGCTATACATGCAGCTGCCTATCAATCGTTTGTATGAACCTGCAATAACACATCTCTAGAAGGGTGAAATCAGAGGGTAACATAACTTACCTGTTCATTTACGCTAATAAACTTCAAAGTGATCTCTTCAAATGATAATATGTAATAAATCTGCAAAATGCATTCACTTTAGTTAAAAAACTAGTCATCCTCCATTACATGAACAATATTACTCACTCAGATATTTACTTCGAATATGTATGATAGTGACTTTCCAATGTGTATTTAAGTTCAAAAAGAAATACGTGCAATAAGAAAATCCTTAAATATACAAGCATACTAAAACCAAAACAAAATGGTAATTCACCTTTGCATAGAAAGATGCTGCCCTGAGGAAATCCTTGGCAGAAAATGCAGCTTCAGCCTGCATCATAAATAGGTCAGTGATGAACTAAAATAAATTCAAGTTGCATACGATTGTATGAGGCCATAATCTAACCAACAAAGTCAATAAGCCCAGACCTGTGCGAGATATACTTGATCTCTCTGGAATGGATCCCAACAATTTGCCAAAGCTGCCGCATACTCCTTCAAGTCCAGGTACACCTTCCACATATCTCGGCCTTCATCATTTACAGACACCTGCTTTACAATCTCAAATTCATCATATGGAAATTTATTGGCACAAGATACGGCTGCTACTATTTAAACAACCTGGTCATTGCATGTAGTATACAAAATTAGGCAAGAAGTTAAACATCCTACACCATGTAGGGGGCCAATAATCATATAATTTTTTAGACAAGCTTTTTTTTTTTTACCCATACCTTATTTTTTAAAGAATTTGTCGTCTCAGCATACACATATCGTACCTGTACCCACACCCGTGCTTCATAGTCATGTAGTTTATGATAAACGTGTTAAAAACACTCCAATAGATGTACAACTCGAGCACAATAATCACCAAAATTATTGCAACCACTGGCTTTGGTACACCGATGTGAGAAGAAGTCTTGTAGTGTAAGACATCAAATTAAAACAACGTAGCAGAATAATAAGATAGATAAGTTATCTCGTAAGCAAAACCTTGTCCAGGTATAATTCAGTTGCCCATGTAGAAATCATAGTTATTTGGCATTTATCATCTTTTGCAAGATTATCAAGCTTCCGCAACAAGAAAGTTCTCAAAGCATCCTGCAAGGAAGTAAATATATATATATATATATTCAAAAACCACAAACCATATGAGCACATGGGTGCATAAGTATTTAAAGTAAAAAGTAAAGATAATCATGTTGACTTCAAAGTCTTTAATTGATAATAAAAAGAAGTTTCGCTTAAACCATAACACTATCAACCTGAACTTCAGGTAAGCAATGAAACAATTGACACTCCACATGTAGCCTCCTTTACCATGTTGGACACTGTAATGTGCATGATAGTCAGACATGGATCTACATGGTAAAAGTTAGATATGGTAGTTGCAGCTATTTGAGGTCGCCACATCAGACTTTTGCAAACATACGAGTCACTAACATCCACGATTATGAGTCACTACATAATGACGCAATTTAAAAAGGCCAAACCAGCTAATTAACAAGAAGCATAGACTTGGCTTTTTCAACCACATATGTGGCTATCCAAAAGGGAGCAACACTAGTCTAGTAAAGGCCGGGCTAACCAACAAATATAATTATCACACTTGATTTGTTCGAGGAAAAGTATAGATGTGAACAAGGAGGAACTGCTATTGTGAAAAGAAATAGACAACACTATTTATGTATGTATATATATTCAACAAACTTAACATAGTGTATATCACACTAGTTACCTAAACAGGAACTTAGGGTTCGTTTGGGAGGTGGCTTTTTGGCTAAAATATAAGGTGAAAGTAAAGAAAGTGTTTGGGAATGGCTTTTTGGCTTTTTACAAAAAAAAAGAGCAAAAAGTAGAGAGAAGGAAAGGAATCTTTGACCTTTTTCATATGGCTTTTTGGCTAATTCAGCCAATTGCCAAACGAGGCCTAATGTGGATTATGTATCAATATTGCAGTGGTTACAAATATATCAACAGCTCAAACAGAAAAACAATATTCCATGATGTACATTCTTTGCACATTACATAGAAAAATAAATACTCTTCAGACGTGATCTTAGCAGATAATAAACACTTGAAGAGGCTATAGGATGACATGATGAAAAGAAAGACCATCCAGAAGTGAAAAGACTCCACAAATTAAACTCAAGTAGCTATGCAACAAAATCACATGAAACTCATGGGCTCCTAATTTAGTGACACAGTTGTTGAACTCAACTGAAACCTTTAGAAGTTAGAAAGGGGTCATTTTATTATATAATATATATATGTATGACTGGACTCTCCTCCGTAAAGATGCCAAACACATGCAAGTATTATATTTATTTGGTAGACAATGAAGTTTGAATACAATATCTATTGTATGCTCTGTGATACCATGTTGAATTGTTGACCACCAAATCATCTGAAAACCTAAGTTGTTAGAGAGAGAGAGAGAGAGAGAGAGAGAGAGAGAAGGGGGGGATTTTATTATTTATATCCTCAATTTTGGGGGGGGGGGGGGATTTTATTATTTATATCCTCAATAATAGTACAAAGAAATTCAAACAATAGTTTTAATACAGATTTGTAGTTCATCAAGTATGTAATTGCAACAAAATTTAAAAGCCTTTGGCATGTCTATTTTTAGTCATAGTTAAATATATGCATTATGCACATAATTCTCAAAAGATGCTTACCCGGAGCACAAATTGAAGTAAAGCATCACATATAAAAAGGTCAAGAAGATTAATCAAAAGATTTTAGTTGAGAACAAAATAATCTCATACACAGAATAACAAAATATATAATATTTTTACTTCTAAGCGCAGTATTGTTTTTTTATAACTAAATTTTATTTAAAGGTGGCACCAAGAGTGGTGCAACCTCTGTATACAGGATGTATACAAAGAAAGCCTAAAACCCATTACTAAAACAGAGCTCTCATATACTAAGCACAGTATTATCACTGAAAACAAGATGCACCTAAAACTATACATGCAGCTGCCTATCAATTGTTTGTATGAACCTGCAATAACACATCTCTAGAAGGGTGAAATCAGAGGGTAACATAACTTACCTGTTCATTTACGCTAATAAACTTCAAAGTGATCTCTTCAAATGATAATATGTAATAAAGGTGAGGTGGTAGTGATGTAGTGGGTTAGGTTTAGTGGAGTAGGTGAGGTGGTAGTGGTGTAGTGGGTGGATTTTAACATCCTCCATTACATGAACAATATTACTCACTCAGATATTTACTTCGAATATGTATGATAGTGACTTTCCAATGTGTATTTAAGTTCAAAAAGAAATGCGTGCAATAAGAAAATCCTTAAATATACAAGCATACTAAAACCAAAACAAAATGGTAATTCACCTTTGCATAGAAAGATGCTGCCCTGAGGAAATCCTTGGCAGAAAATGCAGCTTCAGCCTGCATCATAAATAGGTCAGTGATGAACTAAAATAAATTCAAGTTGCATACAATTGTATGAGGCCATAATCTAACCAACAAAGCCAATAAGCCCAGACCTGTGCTAGATATACTTGATCTCTCTGGAATGGATCCCGACAATTTGCCAAAGCTGCCGCATACTCCTTCAAGTCCAGGTACACCTTCCACATATCTCGGCCTTCATCATTTACAGACACCTGCTTTACAATCTCAAATTCATCATATGGAAATTTATTGGCACAAGATACGGCTACTACTATTTAAACATCCTGGTCATTGCATGTAGTATACAAAATTAGGCAAGGAGTTAAACATCCTACACCATGTAGGGGGCCATTTAGCTGTTTCATTTTGTTGATCTGTGTATATCACTTATTGTAGGGTATGCCCTAAATGACCCTCTTGGATATGCCTTTTAAGAATTTTCTTACCTTGGACACTGACAGCACGTAGTGCACAGTTATATCACAAAACAATGAAATCATCCCAGCATACAAACCTGAAAAATGGAGTTCTGGTCATATGCATAGAACAATCCAGCAGAGGCATCACTGCATAATCCAATAATACCCCTTGACATTGATTCTGGTGTTTCATCAAACTGAAGTTCCTCTATGATCTGTTCATTGATTCTATTTACAACCTAAAACACATAACAAAAACACAGCAAACATCTCTATAATGTTAGTGAGCAGGGGAACTGATGAACAAATATTGAAGTCAGTTCCCAACTTGTCCATCATCGTGGACAAAGAAAATGGAACGCTCTCTAGGATCTAGCTGCTAAAACTTTATTACCAGCAAATAATGAAGTTCATATTTACAAAATTGACAAGAAAATTCAAAATCATGTATGTGTAATTAAATATACCTGTGCGTGCACTGCACAGAAAGACGTACCTTAACCTTGTTTCCTAGGAGAAGCAGAAAATGAAATTCAGACACTGCCAGAGAATTGGGTTTAATAGCTTCAGCAACATCAACTAATTTTGAATAGTCCAAAAGACCCTTGTTCTCCACAAAATTTTCATTTCCTTCTGGTGAACTGCCCAAGAGGTTTCCCAAAAGATTTAATAAGAAAAATGCTTCATAAGAGAACTATACTATTACCACATAAAGAATCAATACACTACAAGACCGAGGATGGACATAAAATGAACATTTTTCAAGAGTGAACCAAAGAAGTAGAGCCTAATAAACAATAAATTCCAGAATTTATGCCTATTGTTCTGTTCACAAAAGGAAGCAAAAGTGATGAGACTTGAGAGTCATCTCCTACCTATGCTGTGCTCCAAAATTTAGGCCACCATGATAGATACCGGCTCCAAAAAGCCATGCGAAATGTACATGTTTCGAACAGGTGGGTTGAACCTTGGTCTGAAATCTTGTTGCCAGGTTTTTGGTCGTTCCGCTCAAGCGGGCCTTGTTGCGCTCGAGCGGAGATTGCACACTCTCAATTTTTCGTGTCCCTGCAAAACTTCTGCAGGTGTGATTTTTACGCTCGAGCGGGTTTCTTTAAGCTTAAGCGGTAGCGCTCGAGCAGGTGCTTTGGCGCTCGAGCGGGTAGTACTTTTTGGTGTAAGTTCTGTGAGGGGGAAATCTATGCTCGAGCGGACCGGTTTTCACGCTCGAGCGGATGTACTTTATTCTTGTGTCTTGGCGCCCGAGCGGGCCTTTTTGCACTCGAGCGTACCTAGTTTTTTGTTCTTGACGCTCGAGCGTTGAACGCTCGAGCGGGAATGTAGTATATCAGTCGGCAGCTGGGCATTTTAAAATCACTTTTTACATTCTCTCTCTCTCTTACTTTCTAAAAGACATTTTGAGAGCTCCTCTCTCTAGAAACTCCCTTCTCTCTAGGGTTTGATCTAATTAGAGTATCTCACTATCCTCCGGCTTTTGTAAAAAGTGTGTGGATCGTCAAGGGCTCCATTTTGATCCGTGGATCTTTGAGTTTGGAGCATTTTGGTTTTCTTCAACTCTCCCGTTTGAGCTCTAACTTCGAGGTAGGGATATCCTACTCCTCTTTATGAGCTTTGTCTTTGAATTTTAGCATTTTGATATGTTGGGGGTTGTTGGGTATTTTTCAACCCAAAAGGCATCACTCTGTAACA